GCCCAGCAGGTCGAGGCTGCAGTGGTCTCGGAGCTGCCACTGCACTCCAGTCTGGGTGGCAGAGTGAGACTCCAACTCAAAAAAAAAAAAAACAAAACCCCTCTGGAAAGGATTCACCATTCTAGATGTCATTAGGAACACACATCGTTCACGGCAAGAGGTCAAAATATCAACAGCACCAGGAGTCTGGGAGACATTGATTCCAACCCTCATGGATGATTGTGCGGGGTTCAAGACTTCAGAGGAGGAAGTCACTGCAGATATGGTAGAAACAGCAAGAGAACGAGAATTAGAAGAGGAGCCTAAAGGTGTGGCTGAATTGCTGTAAGCTCATGATCAAACTTGAACAGACGAGGAGCTGCTTCTTATGGATGAGCAAAGAACGTGGTTTCCTGAGATGAAAACCACTCCTGGTGAAGAGGCTGGCCGAGCAAGTTGTTGAAATGACAACAAAGGATTTAGAATATTTCATGAACTTAGTTGATAAAGCAGTAGCTGGGTTTGAGAGGAAAGACTTCAGTTTTGAAAGCTCTTTGGTGAGTAAAATGCTATCAAACAGCATTGCATGTTGCAGAGAATTCTTTTGTGAGAGGAAGAGTCCACTGATGCAGCAGATGCCATTGTCATCTTACTTTAAGAAATCGCCATAAACACTCCAACCTTCAGCAACCACCACTCCGATCAGTCAGTAGCCATCAATAAAGCAAGACTCTACCCACAAAAAGATGACTTGTCGAAGGCTCATATGATTGTTAACATTTTTTAGCAATTGAGTATTTTTAAATTAAGGTCTGTCACTTGTTTGTCCAGATGTTATGCTCTGCATACTGAACAGACAGCAGTATAGTGTAAACATAACTTTTATATGCATGAGGAACAAAAGATGTGTGTGATTCTCTCTGTTGCGATACTGACTTCAGTGTCATTGTCTGGAGCCAAATCCACAACATATCGAGGTATGCCTTTGCATATCCTGAACACGAGATTCTCATGAAAGTAGAAGGCAAGAACCACAGGCATGCAAATAGCTTTCCTGGGTATTTTTTTTGGGGGGTCACTAAGAATTATAGACACATTAATCTCAGGTTTTCGTGTTATTTGGAGAGGCAAAAAACATGTGAAAATGATACCAACCTTATCAGGCCCAGCACATGGTGCCCAAATAAATGATGCAGAGATAAATGCCACTGAATTTTGAGAAAATGGGGCAGCACATTTTATGGTTGTGACAACAGTTTTTGAATGAATAATTTATAAAAATGTGTGAGTGTGTATGTGTGTGTGAGATGTAAGGATGTACGGGTTGGGATGGCCAACATCCTTGAGCTGCCAAGACTCTGGCAAAACTAATAATTTAAGAATCTAGCTGGGTTCGGTGGCTCAGCCTGTGATCCCACACTTTGGGAGGCTGAGGTGAGTGGATTGCGTGAGCCCGCGGGTTCGAGACCCGTTTGGGCAACTTGGCAAGACCTTATCTCTACAATAAAAAAATTAAAAAATCAGCTGGGCATGGTAGCGTGTGCCTGTAATTCCAGCTACTTGGAAGGCTGAGGCGGAAGGATTGCCAGAGCCCAGTGGGT